GGGGGGGGGGGGGGGGGGGGGAAATCAAAGAAACAAGGAAAACTCGATTCTTGTAAGTTCAAACAGAATCTCAGCAACCCAAAACGAAAAACACTGCAGATGAAATCACAGGAATACAGAAGCTTAATGAGATCAGCAATCAGATCCAGAAAAAAACATAAAAAATGAAGAAACAATCAGAAAAACAGAGACGAACGCTATGGTTTTCCCCAAAAGAAATGAAGAAAAAGAAGAAAGGTAATGAAAATACCTCGGAAGGAGAGGGTTTTTCTTCTCGACGGAATAGGCCAAGAGACCGGCGGAGCCGAGGTTGACAATGACAGAGTCAGGGTACACAGAGCTAAAATGCTTGGCGAGAATTCCATCTTTGAGAGCCCAAACGGAGTCGGAGTGAGGGCTCTGCAGAGCGTCGGGACTTTTGGCCACCGATTTGTCGAAGACGGCGAGCATTTTCGAAGATCGTCGATCAGAAAAATTAGATGAACTAAAACACGATTGGTTTCGTTTGTGAATGCAGGGACTTGCAAATACGGGCGATGAAGGATCGCATGGTCTTGAAGGACGGAGATAAAAAGAAAAATAAATAATAATAATAAGGTTAGTGAATTTCCACTATTGCCCCTCCTTATTTCTCTAATTTTCATTATTTACTAACTTGCACCCACAGTTTTATTTTTATTTTTATTTTTATGAGAATAATTTTGTAGGGAAAAGCTGAATAAAGTGATTATTCTATAATCACTTTTAGCTTTAGCATCGCTTTATATCCATTTTAATATATTTCTTTCTATATACAAATTTGGAAAGTTTAGAAACTTTTATAACTTAATAAACAATATTTTCATTTTCAGATTTTTTTTTTTGAACTTTTAAAATATAAATATATTAATTTTCATTATTATTTTGGCATCACGTATTTAACGGTAGATGATTTAGCTTTAATTATATGTGTGGCGTTCTGATGTGGATGAACGTTAGAGCCATGTGATATGAATGAATTAAATATTAAATAACGAAAAATTTAATTATTAGTTAATTACTCCAATTATCCATAGCGTAGGGGTTTTCTTGTAATTTTGTGAAAGGGGTAAGGGTTTTGAGAGGGAATCTGAAGCATATCCATTCATAACGCGGAACACCACGTAGTAATACGGTCAGAAATTCAGATTAATCAAATTAAAAAAATTAAAAATTATTAATTTATATTCAAATAAAAATGGATATAAACAAACATGTTTCAATTTTTTTTTTTAAATACCAAATTTAAAAGTAGATAACCAAAATATATTAATAATTTAAAATACATTTAATCAAATAAATATTTATTTTTGAACGTAATTTTGGTGTGATGTTGGAGAAATTTGGGGATGGAGGGAAGGACTTTTTTTTAATTAAAAAAAAAAAGAAGTTATAATTAATTAATTATGAAAGTAATTTTCAGTCAACTAAATTGGAAATGTGAGTCAGCAACACGTGGATGGAACATTGTATCTGACTTTGTATCCACTAATTGAATATTTGAAATTCCTTCTTATATGGACTGATGGTTTGGATTAAAACAATTAAATGTTTATGAATAATTCCATACCAAAATTGAATATAATTTGAAAACACATTTTCGGATAATATAATTATTTACTAAAATAAATCTGTAAGAAATGATTACTTGCATATAAATCTAATAATTCTATTTTTGTTTTTATCTTTTAATATACTTACCTATTACCTATTGATTATGTGTATATTACAAATCATTTAAAATTCGAGTATTGATATATTATTAATATGTAAATTGATATCAAACCCTAATTTGGATCATAAACCGTCATACCCACTTATGACAGATTAAAAGGAAAGATTTCATGGATATTAACACTAAGATTGAAGGATTAATGATCCCCCTAAACTAAAACCAAGATTAAACACAACCAAAATTCAAAGCCGAATGCTCCATCTGGAAAGAAATTCCAAGAGCCAAGCCTTGCGCAATGGACCGAGCCCTCCTAAACCTTGTATGAGCTCAAACTCAAGCCTAAACCCGAGCTCAATTCCGAGCCCACCGCTAACAGATATTGTCATTTTTTGGCTTTCCCAAACCCAAACCCGAGCCCAAACCCACCGCCAACCGATATTGTCATTTTTTGGCTCTCTTTCAAGCTTACCTTTTGTATTCTTCCTTAGAAACGTGGAAGAGGATTTATAATAGCACAAGTCCTGGAAGAGGATTTATAATAGCACAAGCCTAGCTCACCACTAGCCGATATGGTTCTATTTAGGTTTTCCATTTCTAAATTTCCCTCAAAGAAGTTTTCCCATCCTTACCTCCTCCCCAATAGATGAAGAACCAACTATGAGAAATGTTTTAAAGTTATGAATGACTTCCTCTTCCAAAATCTAGTAGCTCCACTGAAGTTGGCTACGTTAGATTCTACAGTAAGGCAAAGACAAAAAAAGGTAGTGATACCGATGGCTTTGACTCGAAACTTTTGAAATGGTAATTAGGGTCTAATCCTCGTTACTCGAGAGTTATGCCCCAACCATCAAATATGCAGTAAATTCATGTCATTTAGCTTGAGTGCTATTATTGCTCTAAACAAAAGAAGGCAAAGAGGATGTCATCTGGAGTCGCAAACATCCTTTCCCAGATGCATAGGGAAAATGGTTTTTCCTTAAAGAATATAGATAACTCATGAACATATAACCAACTTATTAAAATTTAAAACAGTAGAATGGTCAAAAGTGATTATATAATATACTCAATGTTAACTTTTTCAACGAATAATTGTCTATAACTCATTCCTAAGGTTCCTGAAACCTAACACAGAAGCAACAACTTTATCACTAGGATTGCTCACACCCGGTTATATGCAACTGACTTACTGAACAGCCGACGAATGTAAACGACCTGTAGCCCACTTGCAACAGCAAGCAACAAATACTCTCCCACTGTATAGAAAATTACACGCTTTCTTGTGCTTTCGTTCGCTGCATCAAAAGGAAAACAATAAGTTATCAACTTGATCGCAACAATGGCGTAAGGAAAAGGTAGCAAAAAAGATTACCAAAATCTTTTGTGTGTCATAGAATCACCCATAAATCAATTCAAAAACTTAAGTAGATAGGCTAGAATAAATTTAAGATTCTTTTGTTGCTCCCTCAACTGTAGAGCCAATTTCATCACGAGTCTTGACGTGTGGACTATTATATTCGTATACAATGAAGATGGGAAAAAAGACATCTCACGAATTCGAACTAAAAAATTCAAGCTTTCTTTGTTCAGCTATAGTAATCATCTCACACATTTACGTTCAGAAAGCTAACATTCTGACATTCGGTTAACCGCTCAAATTTTGTTTTTTTTTTTTTTTTTTTTGGGGGGGGGGGGGGGGGG